ATAATATTTGACAAAACATGCTGTAAAAGATGAGATAAGAAACCTTTTATAGCATCAACATATTAGCGATGAACATAATTGAAACATTTTAGACAAAAGTGAGGCTCCCCCTTACATTGCACACAGTACGTACTCACTTTCTTAGTTTTATTCTTAGCTACTTTACGACCAAATTCCTGTACTGAATCTTTATAACATTGCACGCAAAAACGACGCGTGTCTCTTACTTTTCCTTCCTTTAATTTTAGAACATGCTTGAGTCTTTTAGGTCTTTCATTGATAATTACTTCTTGGGAATCTGCTGGCCGAGTCAAATAATTTATGAGAGCCCTCCTAAAGTCGACAATTGAAGATTTGCTCTGCTTATTTTCATTGTACATGACCCAAGCATTTACAACTGCCGTATTTAGAAGTAGTTCTATTGCCAATTTTCTATACCATTTTACGGTTTTCCGCAATGGCGAAGAATAGGCACCCATCTGGTCACTCATGTCTACAGACCCTTTCGATTTATTATAATCCAAAATAACTTTTGGTTTACGAATCTGTTTGCCTTTTTTCACCACCACAGCAATTTTGTCGGAATGCTTTGTCGACAGCATAAGCACGTCCCTCTTATCTTTCCATTTAAGCACTGTTACTCCATCTTCATTCTCCATAGCCATTGTTTCACCTTTTTGCAGTTTCGAATCAACAACAGCCTTAGGCAATCCTCTTCTGTTTTTTCGCAATGTGCCAATTAAATGGGTTTGCTTCTCCAATAACCGATAAGCCAGTTGCAAGCTAGTGTACCAATTATCAGTTGCTAGCGTGTGTCCTTTGTCAAATATATTTTCACATAGTGCCATCACCACATTTGTTGGCGTAGTATTTATTGCGTCAATGTTTTTCCCACTATACAAATTAAGTTTGCAAGTATATCCGGGAACAGTACATAACTTAAATAGCTTCATGCCATACTTGTGTCGCTTACTTTTATTGTATTGCCTGAATATTATTCGACCTCTGAAAGGTACTTGGCTTTCATCCACACAAACATCTTCTTTAGGCGAATAATATTTCTGGAAAGTAGCATTGAGAGCATCGATTAAAGGTCTTATTTTGGCAATACGATCGTTTCTGTCGACAGATAAATTGTCGCTAAAGTGTAGGTATTGCAGTAGTAACTCGAAGCGGTTCCTACTCATAACGGTGGCTGGAAAAGTTTGTCCAAGTATCTTGTCTTTGCTCCAATAATAAGCTAATTTCGGCAGCTTTACTACGCCCATAAACAAGACCAGCCCAAGAAACTGTTTTATTTCTGTCTTGTTTGTTGGCTTCCATGAATGAGACCTTGATCCAGGCTTTGTTTGCCTGGCTGTGATGTTTTGACTTGCGAACAAATTTGTCTGCTCAGCAATCATTTCAAGAATTTCTTCAGGCACCAATAGATCATAATACTGGTCAGGGCCAGCTTCTTTCAGCAAATTAGAATATGGAGGTTTCATACCCTCGAACTCGGTGAAAGGAATCACTGATGGCTGTCGTCTTTTTGGCCTCGACCATTTTGAGGAAATACGGTCATTTTGCGATATATTGGCGGCAACAAAATTTTCAGCCGACTCACTGTCACTATCACTATCACTTGCGATAACCAAACGTCTTTTCTTTTTCGGTAATTGCATGGGTTCACTATCCGATTCTACGAGAGCGTCATTGTTTATAGAAGCGATCGAAAAAGAAATTTCTAACGCGTTGATTTGCTTCCATTCATCCTGCTTAAATTCGAAGTCATAGCTAAATCCATATCTAAAGGATCGCACATTAACTATTCAATAAGAAAATGATGACAGCTAAGATAGTAGGAACGTAATTGATCTAGTAACACACGTTCTATCACCGTAAGCGCGAGCGCACTACTGGTGTAGCGGGTGGCCGGCGGGGTGGCCGGCGCGGCGCCGGAAAATATATTTTCTGTATTTGTGCGCCATGGGGTGCACCGGTGACCTCAGCTATGTATTTGACTGTAACTATGTAACCCATGTACAGAATTGAATAAAACTTATTTTCTATACGTATCGTAACATAATAAACAAATTACGACCAAAAGTATTTTTACGATTTTTATTTTTTTCTATCGGCGTTTAACGTGTAACTTACCGAATATTCACTGGACACCATCGGGCCCAAATCATATACGAGTAGGAACTACTGAGATTCAAAACTCATAACTCGTCCATAAATTTTACATGCAAACTGAATTTTTCGGGACTTAAACAATACAATTTTAATAAGAACTGAATCACATTCCAAGGAACAGTTATTCCATACAGTGATAAAGTTAAAAATTTGGGCATTATATTTGATCAAACGTTATCCTGGACGCCGCAAATTAGTGAGCTAAGCGGAAATATGTTTGCTGCAGTTGGCTCACTCCGAAGATTGCGCAATGTCTTCCCCATCTCTACTAAAGTTGCTCTGGCTCAGTCTCTTTTTCTACCGATCCTTGACTACGCGGACACTTGTTATCCGGATCTATCTGAGGAGCAACTTAATTAATTTGAGCGGCTTCAAAATTACTGCATAAGGTTCATATTTGGGTTGCGAAAGTATGACCACATGTCCGAATTCCGCCATAAGCTCAAGTGGCTCCCGATTCGTCTTCGCAGGAATACTCATATTCTTCATCTTCTTTACTGCATTCTGTTCAATCCCACCACTCCTCATTATTTAAAAGAACAATTTATATATCTAAATGATTTACACTCTTTTTCTATACATTCTCAAAATAATTTTCTAATTAGTACTCCTAGTCACTCCTTCTATGCTAATTTTTTACGGTTTCTGCTATACGTCTTTGGAATTCTCTTCCTTTAGATATTAAACAATCTAAATCTCTTCACATTTTTAAAACTAAATTAAAATGTCATTACCTATCCTCTTAATATATATACTATCTGTCGTCCATGATATCTTTTTTTTCTGTCTATATGTATATATATATATATATATATTATTTTTCTGTGTATTTACTTTTCTTATTATTTATTTAGTACACCCTACCGCTTTCTTCTTTTCATGAATCCTCTGCCCTAAGGTTGCCTGGAAGATCGCTGTTTAAGCAATAAGGCCGCCTGTTGTACCTATGTGTCTTTAGTTATAAATCCTTTATTTCTATTGGTGTACATTCTTGATTTATTAATTAGTAATACTTAACTTAGGGTATCGTTACCAAACGTACCTTTAATATCAGAAGATCATTTTCATCCGGCCTTAGAAATTGATGCCTGCGAAATTTTAGTGGCTGAAGAACTACCTAAACCAGCAACTAAATATAACTTTTTTAAAGGCGACTACGATAGTATGAATAGCGAATTAAGTAAGATTGATTGGATATCTTTATTCAAATATAAATCAACCGAAGAAATTACTGCAATATTTTATAAAGAATTATTTAAAGTGATAGATAAATTAGTTCCAAAGTCAAAGTTTAATAAAAGGTACAAATATCCGGTATGGTTTTCTAGAGCTCTCATATCTATTATTAAAGAAAAAAGTTCTGTGCATCGCAAATGGAAAAAGTATAATGATCCACGAGATTACGACGAGTTTAGATTATAAGGGACAGACAGCTTAAAGTGCAACGAGAGTGTTATGCTTTCTATATGAGACAAATTCAGAAAGGCATAACTAAAACTCCAAAATTGCTATGGAACTATGTAAAATCAAAACGCTTAACTTGTACTGGTTATCCAAGGGTTATGTATTTGGGTTCCAATGAATATACATCGGTGGAAGAAATTAGCTCAGCCTTTAATGGTTATTTTTAGAGTGTATTTTTAGACCCTTATCCGTCATGCAAAAATTTTTCGATATCCGAAGTAAAAGAAAATGTTGACAATATACATTCCTTAAAAATTAGTACTAAAGAAGTTAATAAACTATTATGTTTGTTGAATAGTAATAAAGGACCAGGTAGTGACCAAATCCCTCCAGTTTTCTTGAGGAATTGTGCATCACCTTTCAGTATCAATCGCTATCTTATTTAATCAGCCATTAAGTGAAGGAGTCTTTCCTTCTAAATGGAAAGAATCACAAGTAATTCCAATCCATAAAAAGTGTCTAGGATTTAAGATTAATTATGTTATTTAGTGACTATTCTAGAAAAATAATCAATCTATTATACAAACTTAACATTAAACACATATCGATAATGTTAACTGTCAAACTGGAGTGGGCAAAGTTGTAACAATTTTGTTTATAATTTTTCATAGAAATAAAGCAAATCAGCTGGGGTTGTCGCTTTTTTTGGTAATCAATATGATTAATGAGGTCAGTTACGATCTCTCTAAACTCTAAGACATTCATCTAAAAATCTTATTGCAAACATAAATTTATAGGTGTTTTAAAGCAAACACTAAGTTTCACTAAAATCAATATAACATTAAAAATAAGTACCTTATAGAAACACAGTCTGTTAGGTTCAAATCAATCTAAACTAAAATGTAATTTCCCACAGGCTGTAGTTGTATGGAAAATAAAACATACAGAAACCTGTACTACTTAGTAAGTTACACAAAAGTAATTCTTAAAAATTTTAGGAACATAATCGTTAGAAATAGTAATGGAACATTTTGACTTCGTTAACATTTTGGCGTTCTTTTATAAATCACATTTAATTATTGTATGTTGTAAGAAGAATTTTGAATTTCTTGGTATTCTTGCTGTAATACTTTATTGGCTCCTATAAAGTTAATCGCTCCTAATTCCTCGCTGCTAATCTGCGGAGGGCGGCGAGAAAAGTGGATGAAGTCGTGTCCGAAACGAGTCTAACCGACGCTGAATATAATCTTGGGTCTTGCGTTCAGCTCCATGCTTCTTAAAGTTGATAAAAAGCGACTCGATCGCAGCTGCTATAATTTCTTGCTCAGATAGAAGCTTTTCTACTCCCGACATGATAGAGAAAGTCAAAAAGGAAAGATCTTACTTGTAAACCATTTCTACTTGATATGAAAGGGTCACCGCACGCCTTGCTTCCAGGTAACCCGCCTGTAGTCTTGATAATGCTGCAGCACAACACGATAGTTCTTGATAAGTATGCACTGTTGGCAATATTCACGTGTAAAATCAAAGTCAGAACCGGAACACGAACACGTTTCTTGATACCGTGCTAATGTCCCCCCAGTTTACGAACGGCTCCAAGGACCATGTAGGAATTTAGGTTGCCTAGAACTTGATATTAAACACTTGATATAGTTTAAAACAACTGTACTGTCCGAAAATTAATAAAGTACTTGATACCGATAATTTACTTAATACTGATAAATGAAAACGCTTGACATGCTTGATGACTGACAGCGAACTGCGAACTTAATGCAGACTATTTTACAATAAAACAAAAATGATGAGGCGTGCAATTGACGCCGTTTTGTAATTATGTCGAGCGTAGCTCGTACACAGTTGTAAAGGATATTACAAATTTTATTTCTTTTTTACTTAATTAGTTTGTTTGAAAAATATTTTTTTTAATTATGGATTTTTATTTACGTTAACATTTTTTATGATTATTGGCAAGTAGCGTTAGACGTGTGTTCATTTATTGTCGCGATTGTAAAGACACGCTGTATAATATGTATTGTATAATATTTACAAAAGAAAAGTATGTTTAAGTATGTATACCAGTTTTGTAGTACAAGCGTTGCTTAATTTGGGACTAGAGAACGTTGTGTAAAAAATGTGTCCTATAATATTTATTTATTTTATATTGTTCATATGACGCAATTACTTTTTCATTCTCCACTTTCTTGGTACCAATTTTCATCTGTAAAGCTGATTTCCCGGTCTCTTCTGTGCCTACTTTTATTTTGATGTCGCTCATTTCCACAGCGGTTATTTTAACATCCAAGGTTATTGTCAATTTAGATGGATTCTTCGCCTTTGGCCATAAATATCTTGGCAAAACATGTTCTGGTTGTCATTTCTAAGAAAATTATTTAACATGCAGACATCTGATAGTGACGTGTTATTATCATGCGGTGACTTATCAAAATGCAGTTTTATTGTTGTGTATGTAAGGAAGTTCCGACATCGTAGCAAAGAATCGTCTGGATTTGAGATTGTACGACATTAGCTGGCATCAGCGTACTCAGACGCGGGGACAGTTTCTTGTATGATTTACCTTTGCCACCGACCTTCAAAGGGTTTACCTTCAGAGTGTCTACTATAGCAATCTGCAACTCACTGGATTCAGTGATAAGCTGATCATGACGCACATCATTATCCACAGACGTAGGCATAACAGAGTCGTACCAAGCTTGAACGTATCCTATATCGGTGGCCTTCGGTGACCGCAGATGCAGCTGGGGCATCTGATAAAGCGCACGAAGTTGGGATAAAACCTGTGGTGTATTCGGATGGTGCTGCCCACCCACGATAACCGTCATTGCTTGTTAGCCTCCGGACCAGAGAAAGTTTTTCTCTCGGATCGAAATTCAATGATGGGTGGTGCGTAATAAACGGCACGCAACTGTTCGCCATTTGCCAATTTACGCTCGTTCCAGCGTTTCAACTCAGCTTTAGATATACCTTCGACCCTACGCATCCATCTTACAACCAAGACGTCAACGTCTGATTAGTATATAAAGCGTTTTGTGTGTCTGCTAATCGCCACGATGGCGTGTCCTTGCGAATCGTATAATTTCAAAGGTTTGTGGCTCGTCCGTACATATCTAACATGCGAAAGCGTCTACCCTTGAGCTTTTCATGTACGGTCATGACCTTACTCTGTTTCGTTTCATAACCCTGCCTCACCAAATCCGCTTTGTCTGATTGGAATAGGACCAAATAAAAAATATTGAAAGAGGACAATGTGTCCTACATTGTCCTCTTTCAAGACCCCGCGGCCCGAATACTGTTCTCTACAAAGCGATGTCACAACGTCACTAATGGAGTAAAACCCTTCGGACATCTGTGCGTCCTGTTTAAAGTTCTTGACACTGAGTAAAATCTGTCTGGATTAGCGTATTGTATCATCGTAACATGATCACGGTCTATGTATGGAATCTGGTCGGCTTGCAAAATGTGCGCGGCGTACGCAATAGCACCCGCGTGGACCATCAAGGCTTCGTGTACAATTACTTTCTCATACTTGTTCCGCGGTGGAGGAGATATGATTATGTCCTTTGGAGTACTGTGCATCTAAATGGCTCGTAACGTAGTATAATTTCGTACCATCTACTGTTATATTCGAAATAGCGAATTGGCCCTCTATTTGCGCAAACCATAACTCCGGGTCGTCCGGCCAAAATGGCGGTATTCGCACACTCATCCGGTTAACGTCTGACGCAATCTCAACGTACGTTCTTTTTTTGCGCTTTGAACATGGACGCGTGGTTATATTCCGTTCGGGCGCAGTTTCCACGGAATCACTATCACTGCTCATCGCACCTTTATTTGTGTTCTGCAGGGGTCACCAGTTGTGGGTATTGGTAGGCTATATAGCAGTATGGAAGCGACAGGATGAAGCCAAGAGATAGGAAGAAACAGTTTACACGTCACTTACACACTTTATTGTCCACAACATATAGAAAGAAGGAAGCAAGATAGTTCAGAGCAGAAGGAAAAGCACAAGATAGCAATGTTCTTACAAATATTAACACACGTTGTTTTACCTTGCAACCTCAAACAAATAAGAAGGGCTTTATGCAAGCTGTATGTTTTCTTTTGATATAGATAGCTGCTGCTATGCTGTACATAAATGTATGTAACGTCACAAATTAAAATTGCCGGTTTAGACTCTGGTGGCATTTGTGGGTTTCCAAATAACCCTTCGGGGATAATTTTATTTCTTAAAGCAACTTCTCTTGTATTTGTATGGCCTAAACCCAAATACATTGGGACGAATGTCTGAAATAAGCTGTTCTGTTCCTGGCTTCATTCATGTAACGTTTTAAAGTTGGACGTGTTAATTTAAAAAGTGATGATATTCTTCCATTACTGTCTCCTGTTCTTAGTTTTACCTATAATATACTTAATGCAACACTTGCACATGTCACCATATCTCCTAATTGATTCCAATAGACTCTGGAATTGAGTAGCATTAAGTCCTTACGGGCAAAATTTGAAAACTATTAACTACTAAATATTCTATGTTAAAGATGAACTGTCATCAAATCAAATAACACGTTGATGTTAAAATGCTTTGAAGCAGATATCTACTCTCTATATTGTATATTGAATCCATGTTGATTGTATCAATGTCACTTTTTTGTTAGTTAATAATGGTAAAATGAAATCAATATCAATTTAAAACCAAATGTGTATATTAATATTAATTTTAACTTAACTACCACTGTAATAACCTTATTTGATTGCTAAGGAACATAAAGTGAACAAAAGCTTGTTTAGTTTATATCCGTTTCATCTGTGCTCATCTGTAAGATTCATTTCAAATATTGATTTGATGGTTGATTTTCAGGAGGCGTTAAGTTTTATTTAAGTCTACCTTGAGTTTTATTTTCCCTTTACTTTATTGGAATTAAAAACAATAATAAAAATATGTATGACATGTTTCTATGTACTTAATTTCTAGATGATATTATATGTAATTTTTAAGTGAGATAAAAGCAATATTTACTTTAAACAATAGTTTTTTTTTCCTTTTATCTGTCTATATAATACATAAAATTATAAAACAATAAATTAAATAAAAGGCTTTTTATTTAATTTATTTATGTTCTGTGAGCTAGCATCAGTGGACTGATACACAAGTCAATTATTTTATTAACGAAAAACATAACCGACTTTAAATATCTCGCTCTGTATTCATTATATAATTGATTTGATAACCAATCTTATCCTGATAGATTTCCTTAAGTATCTCGAGAGCCTAAGATCCAATGCCATTGAAACTAATACGAGACCACATGGGAAGCACCAGTTTGCAAATAAAAATAATCATCAACAAACTTAAAAAAATACAGTCGAATTGAGAACCTCCTCCGTTTTTTTAAGTCCGTTTGAAAAATATATCTCTTTATGTTCACGAATTATGAACCGAACGGGTATTATGAATCAGTTTTTGCTGTCTATATTTGTATATTACAACCAATTTAATTTACTCAGTAAGAATTTATATCATTGGTGTGGTGTATTGATACCTAGTATCCTTCTAAAACGCAAATTTTTTTTGTTAATGACAATAAAATTATTAAGCTTTATTTTAAGTTAACATTTATCGAGACACAAAAATATTTGTAAGTGGCCCAAGCTGTAAGTGGTGCTGTGTTGGTCATTCTCCTTTGTTTCGTGACTCGTATGTACGGTAGCGGTTGTAGAACCATGACTGCATTCTGGGTATTCCGAGGGATTAGCTATAAGAGAATTATTCTCTTCGTTATGGATCTCAATGGCATCTGCGTTCGTATTTGGTTTTCCTTTCTTGTAAACTACAGTAAAGTCGTATTCACTAAGCTTTAAGCGCCATCGAGTAAGGCGAGAGTTCGGCTCTTTTAAACTCATAATGCACTGTAGAGGTTTGTGGTCGGTAAGTATTTTAAATGTCCTGCCGAATAGGTAGGGTCTAAAATATTTAGTGGCCCATACAATTGCCAGGAGCTCTTTCTCAATGGTGCTGTAATTTTGTTCACTATCATTTAGTGTACGCGAAGCATATGAGACCGGTTTATCTGAGCCTAGCGGCCCTTGAGACAAAACGGCACCGATGGCAAAGTTGGACGCATCGGTAGTAAGGATAAATTCCTTACTAAAGTACGGGTATTTAAGGATTGGGTCATTCGTCAAAAGAGTTTTACACTTCTCAAAACTGTTAACATAATCGGGGTCGAAAGTGATCTTTTTACCCTTTTTTAGACACTGTTAATGGTTTTGTTATTTTTGCGAAGTCTGGGATAAATTTCCGGTAATCCTAGTAGTCCTAAGAAGTGCTTTATCGCCTTAGGAGATTTAGGCATAGGGTATTTTTCTATCGCAGCTATTTAGTCTGGATTAGGCTTCACGCCCTCGCTGCTAATTATATGGCCTAAATAAGCCGTTTGTAACTTAAGGAACTGATTTGTCCATTTGCACTTTGAAATTAGTCTCTGGAAAACTTGTTCTAAGTTCACCATGTGTTACTGTTGCAAGGTGCTGAAAACTATGATATCGTCGAGGTACACCAGACAGATCTGGTTCTGGAGACCTCGGAGGATGTTATCCATCGCTCTTTGGAATGTGGAGGGCAAGTTCTTAAGGCCCATGGGCATCCGAAGGAATTCGAAATGACCGTGTTCGACGTTGAATGCCGTCATTGGAATGACAGCAGGGTCTATCTCGATTTGGTGAAAACTACTGGCGAGATCCAGGGTAGTAATATATTGGCATTTACCTAGTTTATCCAGAACATCTGAGATATTCGGGTTATGGTATTTGTCATTTATGGATTTCTCATTAAGTTTGCAAAAATCTATAACTAGACGTCATTTCTTTTTCCCCTAGGCGTCTGCTTTTTTTGGGACAATTCAAATCAATGAGGACCACGCGGACTCGGAGGGACGTATAATGCCTTGAGTTAACATTTTATTTATTTGATCGCGTACCTCTTGTCGATGAACAAAAGGATATCGATAGCTGTTTGTGTTATAGGGTTAGAGTTTATTATGTGTTCCCTATAGTAACGAGGAGATGCGTGCGGAGAGCAATTGCGTTCAGTATACAACATTACAATTAAAATAGCAAACTTGCAAATATTATAATACTCGTACAAAGTAAACTTGACACCCGTATGCCTTGCGCAAATACGGTAATAAGTTAAAGCAAAACACAGTTATAATTTAATACTTATATTTTGAACATATCTCGATGGTTTTTTTAAAAATACGTCCACATCGTGTAGTTCTTTGTGCATCCGTACCTGTACCCTCTGTACCCGTGTGTGTATCCGGCGGTACAGTGTTTGTTGAAACTCTCTGCGGTACGGTATCATTGGATGCATACCGATCCCCTGCACCTTGATCCAGTGGTACAGGGCATGTAATGCCTGTCTGCGAATCGGTATCTTCATCTGCCATAAGATATAAACATGAACATTATCATGCGGCCGGAGGCCGCGGTAGTTCGATTGTCTTAATTGACTAATAAAGTTTTATCTGTGTTGTGGTGGTGGTGGTGAGGTATAGATGGATTGAAAATCCAGCTAGTTAACAAAGACAGTTTAACGAGTTTAACACATGCGAATTTAAAATAAATGCCGCCGATTCGCGGTCACACGGGTCAAAGAAGATACAGTGAATTACAAAAAGCATATAGTAGAGCTTGGAGAGCGTTAAGTGCTGCTGAAAAATCTCAATATTCATCTTACAATCAATGGAGAATTAGTGATGCTGGTAAAGCTATTAAAAGGACATTTGACGAGGCTTTTACAACAGATAGATCCAATACCACCGATACCAGACGTGATAACGGAGAGCCCTCTACCTCCAGATAAAAACCTAGTAACGACGACGACAATTTCAATTTGGACGATTTATTTAGTAAATTTAATTGGGATAATCTCCAATTTGGTGATATGGCAGAGATACAAAATAATGTGCCTGAAGCTCCTACTCACTCGTCGGTAGTCCGGGAGGTAGTACGCGGGAGCCTATGGATACCGAACAATTGGGATCAGCTTCTGGAAGATCAGGAATCGGTGGAACTGCTTCAGCGCAATCGGGCATTTCAAAGATAGTACCCAATCCAAGATTGCGAGTAATGTATTTAAATTTTACAAAAAATGGTTTAAATATACTTACGGTTATGCTCATACTAACATGACAGGACATAATTTGACGATAGTCTTAACACGATATGCTTATTATCCTGAGGATTGGTTACCATGGTATTATGGTAGGTATATATGAAATAGGATGTATATGGGAGTATTGAAAATATATGTATATAATAAGTACATAAATTAATATTATAATATACTACGTATTATTACTGAGCGATATTGCGGGTAGAAGTGTGTGAAATGTAACAAAGCGAAGAGTATTATAATGCGATGAGTTGCGGGTAACTAGATAAAAATATGGCGAATGAATATAATAAATAGCGTTTAAATGTAATTAAGAGTGTTTAGAGTCATTTGTAAATTGTATATCCGGCTCGAAGGACCAAAAGAGGATTGTAGGAAAAGTTAGGTACTTGGGAGCTGGAGTTGGAGTTGTCCTTCGATATCTTAGTTTGAACGGCGGTCACTGGTCTTTTCCCACAACACTTTGCTATTAATTTTGAGTTTAATAAACTAGCGAATTCACCACAGCGCTGTGGTGACTGAAGTTTTTATGCGTGCGGTGCGAGCGTTGAGAAAGAGGTCAATCTTCATTTCTTCTTGCTTTTATAAGAAGCGGACAGGGAGGGATATGGGCGGATATGAATATTATTGCCAGTAAATTGTGGTGTGTGCGTTATAATGCAATTAAACATAAATGTGAAACTTAAATGTTTATATAATTTTATAAATTATTTTTTTTAAATAAAATGGCGTAGGTAATAATCATAAATTTCAGCACTAGCATTTTTGAAAATTATCATATTATTATGAGAAGTGATGCATGATACACTAAGCAAGTTTTGTTTCATACTTGGTACATAATAAACAGTACCTGGAGGGTTTGTTTTTTTGGTAAATCGTGTATTTTGGAAATTACGTTTAGATACAAATTACTGAGTAATGGAATATGCATAACATTTTTCGATCTTATCGACGTAATAATAAGAAAATATGAACTGGTGTTATTCACAAAAGAAAGAACTTTAACAAAAAATTTAAAATAAAGAAAGAAATGATCTGGAATCGAAAAAAAGTAAAAAATTAAGTGTGTAAATGATCGTGATACGAACCGTGGCCGTATATGTTTTGGGGCCGCCCGATTACCGAACGAGCTATTATAACCTTTTTTTTGCGGCGAAATTTACCGTCATATTCGAATGATATTTTTCATTCCCTGAAAACAGGGATAAAATGACATTTTCTAAAAATGAAACCTAGCTAGATCGATTTTTCGCCCCCGAATCTACGCCCATACTAAATTTCATGAAAACCGCTGCAGCCGTTTCCGAGATTCCGATTATATATATATAATTTATTAACGTATAAGATTATTAATCATAGTTCTATGCCATTTACCATCAACATTAAATAACTACTGCTACTACTACTAACAAATATTGCCTATTTTACTCGCTTTTAAAGAAAAACCATCACCTACCTTAATGTGTACAGAATGCTAAAAATTGTTACTATGACAATAATATTGTTCATCATTTATAATGTGGTCTGAACAGCCACTTAACTTAATCAATCTTAATCATCTTCAAATCACAACTACACCATCTTGACTAATTACACAGAGTAGAGAGTTTTGTCTATACAGAGCAACTAAAACAATAGCAATGTTACAAGGTACAAAATCATATTCTCAACAGTTAAAATATATGGATTTAATTTAAATATTACAACTTAAGTTTTAAAAATATAAGTTAGGTAAACAAAAGGTCATTTTAAATTTTATGCGTACATTTACTACTATTTTGTGTTTGTAATACGTCACAACATATGGATAATGTTATCCTAAAGTAAGGGCAATGTTTAAAAAAAAAAAAAACAAAAAAAAAAAAGAATTTGAATATGATCAATTCGTCCTACGTAGTGCAACCATTTTTGTCTGACATAGTATCTGACTAAGACATTGCACCCGGCATGATACTGGAGGACTTAATATTTTTCATTGTCATGGTCTACATCAGTGGTGAAATCTTTTACAGGGTCAATTTTTTCTAAATTAATAATTTGTGATAAATTCATAGAATTGCTTTTGTCATTGTATTCCACTAAAGTTGCGCTATCGGATACTACATCTGCTATGTCCGAATCGCTATGCCTGCTGATTGAATCGGAAACACTAGTTGTAGAAGTAGAACATCGTCTGTATGTCTTAGCACAGTCCCGATGGTCCTGGCTCAGAAATCAGAATTCTCATAAATAAATATCCCTAGAGTCGAAACTCTTATGTTTCTGTGTACGTGATGGTTTGGCGTTTGTATGCTGTTCAATCCTAGTATTCAAAACATTTTCTTTCTACGTTTTTGCTGACTTGGGGTCTTGTGCAATTTGAGTCTGCTATCTAAAAACGTATTTTTGTCCCCATTGTTGATAGTTAGGCAGTCTTGTAATATTTTTGATTCGAAGCATTAATAAATTTATTTTCCCCTGTATTGGGCTGAATAATTACATTAGAAATTATTTTAATTTTTAGAGAATCAAGTTTTTGTTTAGGTAAGCAAAGAGTTAGCCTATTAATATTTTTAGCAGTAAATAGTCGCATCTGACTATCAGCTTTTGAAACAAATGCCTAGTATAAAACATCATCAGTGCCAACGACATCAAGACGTATAACAACTTAGTCTGTCCCGTGACCATGAACGCTGGAAAGGGTTCGAAACGTCGGGAATTTAAATCAAAATTAAAAACGCGATAAAATCCGTAAAGCATTTAATATGTATAATATTCGCGTAAAATCAAGAAAACAATATCATCAGGGCCCCTTAAAAGATTGTAATTGTGCGTTTTAATCTTTTTTACATTCTTTTTTATAAAATTTTCAGCGTTTTTTCTTTGTTCTTGTCACTTCCTTTCCCCACAACCATTTTGAGTTAACATTTCGACACCTGGTCCTACTTTTCGGCGCCGTGGTTTATGTGAACTGACACCTCTTTAGACTTTTTGTAAAAGTACTTCTTCGAATGTAATTTTTTGATCTCTTTAAGAAATTAATAATGTGCGTGCTACTCACATCTCATTGGAAGTTGAAAACCCAACTAAATTTCAAATGTCGTTTTTTCTTTTTGTATCTCAAATAACTCCATCTATGTCTCAAGTTTCAACAGTTTAATGATATGAAACATAGGGCTGCCATTTTTGTAGCTATTAGCGTTTCCACATATTTCTGACTGGACGGATATACCCAGACGGCGGTCTTCGCGTACTTGACCTTAATAATAGAACAGTCTAGTCAACAATAAATCGTGATTACTTGAAAGATAATTTAATATCTTTCATTTAAAGTTAAACCCAAAACTATAATTTACCATTAATAGTATAAGTCTCTGCAGTGGATGCACATGGTAGCAGCAATTCTACTATTGATTCTTCATTCTGAGAGGGGTACCCAGTGCCCACTTGATACATAGATCCAATATAGGTTCGGTGACCTGCAAATACATACAATTACTAAATATGTAGTAAATGATTAATTGTGAAACCAAAGCCCTATTCTATAAGCCCCCGAGACTACAGGGCTAGGGCTAGCGTGAATGCCTAATATTTGCATTACACGATTTTCTATATCATTCACGGTGATTCTAAATACTGACCCTAATACCGGTGCCCTGCACTGATATGTCGGCCATTTAGTTTTTCTATTGTTTTTTAACCCGGTGCGATTGACGCGGGGAATGACGCTGGGTCATCGCTACCCCGATTTTAACGCCAAATTTTCGCGAAACCAAAGAACGTTACCATCATTTTTAAAACTTTTTTAAAACAGGGGTTTTTTGCGCATGTAATACAATAAAAATAATGCCACCATATTAAATATAAATAAATAAATCAAACTTTTATTAGCTTCCAACATGTCATGCAAAATCAACGTTGAAAATGAACATACCTACTCTTAATCAATTTTTAACACTTTTTTATAAACTATTCCTACAAATAATAGGCTCAACAATCTTATATGCCATAGATGAGAGATCAAAGAAACATCCAATATCATAAATAATAAGAATTCAACATCTTAAGTCTTCTACATCTTTATTGATAGTCATAGATGGATTACGGAACAATATGATCTGGGCAAATGTAAATATGGCACACATGACGAGTATGGTTTTTTTTCATGTCCTTTTTGCTCGGACATATTTGTCATCTCTTGCGAGCTCCTGGAATCTTTCTTGGCGGTTCGTCGAAAGATCCAGCCACGAAATCTGCGACTCTCTTACTTAAAAGAAAAGGTAAATTTATTTGCTTTTACGGACGTCCAAATGGTCAGGGTGGTTTCCCGATGACATTTTCTTAGAATAATTAAAAAAGACCAATTAAAAATAACTTTAGACATTGACTAAAACATGACATTAACTAAAACAGTTATGCCATAAAAATGCGACGATAGCGATGACGTTGGGTCATACTTACCCGCTTTGATTTAACGCACTGCGCAGAGGGCGCTGTACTGAGTGTGGTGAGGTCGAGAAGTTGGAGAGAAATAAATTAGCTCACTGAGTTTTAAAGTTGGTCACTCACGACACAATACAGTCAGATAGAAAAGTTCAGAAGGAAGAATAACGGAGTAAAAGAATAACAAGCACAAAGTCCGAAACAAATTATAAACACAAAGATTTCATTTCGAAAAATTTACTTTGTAGGATATGTAGGGACACTTCTGAAGACTGTTCATAAATTATACATAACTTTTTCCAAATTGCTTCCGCTGTTTCACAATTTCTAACCTGAACAATGATATTATTACTCAGGCGCACCACCATGATGGCTTGCGCTTTCGCGTCCTTTCTCGACCATTCTTCCAAAAATTTTTCATCATGTGGACGTGGATACGTTCCATCTAATACAACCTGTATTAAAGAATTAAGAAGTATCTTTATCTGGAACTTCCAG